GAGACGCCTATCTGGCATGGTAAGGGAAAACCATCTCGCTTGACTCATGACTGATCGTTGAAAACCAACCAGTTTATGCATAACCACGCAACACACCTACACTGGCCACGTCAGCAATTTGGCTGAGTCATTCAAGCAGCGCTAACGCCAGCGCGATTTGTCTGTACCAGCCGGAGTTGAGTGTACAGAAACATTATGAATAAACGTTACAACTACCTTAGCCAACTCAACTGTGCATCCGACCAACGGAATTATATACACTCCACATTTATGACTCAACGGAAAATGCTTGTGCTTGATCAGTGGTTTTGAACTGAACGTATATGCCCACCTTATGCCTATTATTTTGATGTTTTAAATATAATTCAAAAAGAATGAAGAATTGTGGAAAAATGTTTTTACTGACATTGTCTTATCATCATACTATGCGACTTTTTATTAAAGTGCAAAACCGTGTCTACAGACTAATAGCAGAGCTACTGAAACAAACAAGGACTTTAAGACAGTGAAACTGATTGATCTTGGACGCACGAATAATTCAATGTATTGCGGCACCGAAAAAACAGAGTAATTATCTGTTATTATGTGCGAAGCGGAGCCATTAATTAAGGGATTGGTACTGCAACGTTCGGCTTAGAATTTATGTTTTATAAGGTTTGAAATTAGTATGCTTAAATTGTGGCCATATTCAGCTGGACTGGTTTTGTATTTACAGTTTTACTGAAACATAAACTGCAAGTAGCTTCCCATAGGCAGTCTAATAAATGAATATTTCAGTGTGAACCTTTTTCCTCATTTAATTGAAATGCATATACCATAAAACCGTGAATTTAAGAGACATACACGTAAAACAGTCAATCGTGTGTTTCCAACTAATAGTTTGTTTCATCACAATTTGCAGATGCATACATACATATACTGAGTGCATTTATTCATTATTTTACTACAACATGTCAGCTAAAACCCATTGTTAACGTGCACTGATGGTTAGGTCTAAGTACTCATTTGAGTTCATTGCTGGTGACTGACAGATGCCAGTATGCTTTATAACATTTCTAGGAAAATTAAAATTTAGTACCATGGAAAATTGATATTGCATGCATATCGTTAAATTTAGCGTATAAGTCAAATGAATTTATAATACGATTTACTTACTAAAATTGGCGCGGCTTCAGCACTTTTCACAAGTACCAACCTGGTGTCATCAAAACATGTGGAGTTTACAAATGGGTAGAAAATTACGAAGGGTACACTGGCAGAGCTCGAACGAATAACCATCCAAAATGTTGAATTAAATATTCCGGATTTGCATTTAAAAAAGAGAAAAGATTTAATCAAATAATGTTTTACAATTCGTTTCGGTTGGTGTAAAATTTATTGTCTAATGACATTTTATTGTTGATCGCGAGCGATTTCTCGGCTTTTAATTAAAAGGTGGATAGAGTAGACTGGTTTCAGTGGCCTTGGATGTTCATTCTACAAAATATTTGTAGGCTTATTCTTGCGAAATTATATGTCAACAGTAGATAATGTAGGAAAAGAAGTTAGGCGAAATAGGCAACAGATGCTTTGAAGGTCCCGCCAGATGTTGGAAGTATCAGGAACGTAAGCTACTTAATAAACTCTTGTTTATTTATAACTAACTTTTATGCAATATATTCTTAGGGAACTGGCTGCTTGCAACGGACAACACTGCACTCGTCAAAATAGATCTAATGCATATTACTTAGTCGAGTACAATGAACAATAGTATATAAGGCCAAAACGTATTGCTTCCAGGCTCCGTAAAATGATGGGCATGAGGCTTATAAAATGAGTTTAAAGTGGGAGGGAATAGAGAATATTATGGTTTCCGTTAGTTCACCGTTAGCCACAAGAACATATGTTGGTCAGCTAACTGCTACGTAACAGAGGGACCTGGTGAGCATATAGTTTGCGTTAATTCCTCTTTCGATGGAAACTGACAATGTGGCGTACTATCAATGAGATAAAGTGTAGTCCGTTATTTTAAAAACGTTAATCTGGGGGATAATTAACGTAAGGAGAAAGGGCGCTGTACATTCTGGATACCCGAGCGGATAAAATGTTTCGTCGGCAATCAAGTCGATTTTTACGTATGGTCAGTTTGATCTGTTGGCCTCGCAGTTTCCTATGGTGGTTGACTTGTGACAGATCGTTACACGTGTGATTGGGGTTAGTTAGTATTTGCTACACCATAATAATATACCCTCGCAGAGGCCAGAGTTTACCGTGGTACATGTCTAGGGTTTGTGCTCTGCATTGTAGGAGCAGTGAAGTAGTTCCATAACGATTTTTTCGCCTTACGTTGTGGATCCTCAAATGTGGCAGCATCATGTTTGTCGCAAAGCCTCCGGGTTCTAATCGTGCATTCGACCTATGGCTCTACGTTGTTATTCTGCTTTTGTGGAGAGATTGATGGCTCGAATATATCGAACGCCCATCGTAGAAGACCAAGATACTGACAGCTACTTTTCTATGTATTCACGGCCTGTTCAAAGTAGCTAAATTCAACCTACACCATAACTCCTATGTCTTATTCATGCGTACCGTGTTGCAGCAGCTGCGCTCCCAGTCGATATTTTTGTGTGCACTGATGGTATATATTCAGATGGCTTCGTTCTGCCAGGCGAAATTGTATCTGGTTTTCGAGAGACTACCCGCATACCTTGTCAAAATCTCTTTATAATGCCGCGTAAGTGCTCATTGTCTACATCTTATGCCAGATCCTAACGTCGTTTGCATCAAGTTAGATGTTTTACTAGAGCATCCTAGCAGTATAGTTGACGAATACTAGGAACAGGCGTGGCCGAAGTACCGACATTTGGACACACCGCAGTGGACCTCAATTGGGTCCACATGGGTTTGCTGATTTTCACATTCAGCTGACTTTGAACATTGAAGTAGCCTGTCCAACCGAATACAGTGTCCCCAATTCCATGGTTTCAGAGTTTGTGATGAAGAATTTGGTTGTCCAGGCGTCTGACTGCTTTATGGTATGACGGCATCCGTATCCGGATTTGCCTGTCACGGTGGCCTCCATGGGGACAGCCACAGGACGCCTGCGCCTACAAAGGGGACCATGGGTGGCTTGCGCTACACCACCCATAGTTCCACCCACACACCCCATATCCGGTGTAAACCCGAAGGAATAAGACCGAGAGGCATGTGGATGGGAGCCACGTTTCATCAACGGAGACGGCCCACACTCCTTCAACAAGCAGAACAGAAGCATTCAGGCCTAATTAGGAAATCATGCAGCCAAACATACACATGGCGGTGGCTGGACGGTATCCCGTTCCAAACAGGATGGAACCACTCTTTGAGCCTAGCACCGTCACGAGGACACTGCACTCCTTCCCCTCCAGCGACGACCAACTGTCTCCTGGAGCCAGTATGGACGAGGTAGTGTGTAATAGACAGGTAGGCACCTTGTTATCATGCACATCAAGAGCTTAATATAGGTCCAGGTATACGGCATCAATTCTTTGGCTGGCGTCATCTGACCTCGGTCAGCTTGCTCGGGCTAGTAACAAGTTTATGATATAGGACAGATTTCGGCGGAGTCCATGCTACTGTGACACTATGACGTGGTTGATCTGAAAGCAGACCATGAACGCATTTGCAATGATTACTACCATAACTTTGGTTAACACTATGAGGAGGGTGGTTGAGCGGCAGTTAGAAGGTTCTGCACGACTCTTACTCTTAAAAATAGAAGTGCTTTTCCCTATTTACATGGTCGAAACCTGCATTTACTCATGGCTTCATTGAAAGTACCGGGTCCTTGGTTCGTTAAGCCTCTGCAAGTGTTCTAAAATTTTCTGTCTGATATTATTCACAACGAGAAACTGACTACGCATAAGGACAGTAGCATTTTCTTCATATTTGCAGCAGTGAAGCATGCCTGCCTTAATCTTGGGGATGGAATGAACAGTGTCATGGACGTGTGCAGTGAAGGTTCTTTTTGCAAAGTGGGGTTAAATCGTTGCCAAATTCCGTTGACGGCATCTTGTGTAGTGGACACCAAAGTATTTATTGCAGGTAAATTTGGGATCCCGCGCTGCTTTATCCGGAGCTTGTTTACAAGCCTTTAGATCATTTAGGGATTAGTATTTACTTTCATTAATACATCGTATTTGTGTTTGTGCTTGTCTGCTCGGACTAAATTGACCCAGTGATTTCGCCGTTATATAGGCATCCTTGGAGGGACTCGGCAATCACAGTTGGAGCCAAATTACTTACGTTTTGACTGGGTACATTAAACCAAACTATAAATGAATTTATGAGAAAAGCATATATGAAAACGAACTTGCCACACAAATATCAGCTTCCGTTCGCTCGAGTATTATCAGCGGTTTTAAACGTTCGTATGAAGATGCTGCTTTTAGTAAACTTAGTCTGAGCTTATCATGACTCCTTAGATTAACTGAGACTTGAAACATAAGTAACGATTGAATTTTGCACATTTATTTTATGCACACTGTACTTTTACAATATCATAATAATCATGTTACTTAAATTCATCCCATTGATTTTGTCCAATTTACCGGCTCAAGCCAAGCAAGTGTTCGTGCACTCCAGATTTATTGCTGGTTGCTTAGTATAGTTTGGATGCCTAAATATTTATACGACAGAGAGATAATCTTTTTGTGACTGGAAAATGCAATTATAACACCACCATCACCGAATAAGGAGACATTGACTTGCAATACTTTAAACGCTTCATAGGACGGTTAACAAATTAATTACTGTCGTATGTGAGGCATCACTCAAATGTATTGTCTCTCCCAGCTGTGCAATTGAACACCAAGGGGAACAGCTCAGATTACTTAGATTTTAGACGACACCCTCAGTTTACTACATATTTGTGATGAGAATATGCAAAAATGGGTATTCCAGCATCCGAATATGCAAACTTTTCATCAATGTGACCTGAAATTTGTCTTGTACTATTCCATTGATCCATTCTTATTTTACAGCCTCCTATCATTTTCGGGAAAGCTTGATGATTCTTGCGATTGCTATCATTTTTCTTTCCCTTACGGTCAACGTTTTCTGCTGCATCCGATGTGCTTTGATCCGGCAATACACAAGTAAGTTCAAATTTTTGTACCTTGGGCACTGTTGTCTCGGAGTAATACGGTTGCTGTAGAACATTTCCTGATGATGAATAATAATCACTTTCCGGTGATCGCCAATAGCTCAACGGAGCTGCCGTACACGTGCGGCTGAGAAGATTTAAATATTTCAGGTAAAATAGTTAATGTTTAACGATACAGGACAAAGATTCACCTGGACGCGCTCATTTTGTTTAGTTTTTTTGATTCACATGGATGTAATCTAACATAGTATGCGGATGGGAACTAGAAAGTTACATCCGGTAGGACTCTACTAAGGCGACCAGTAAGGCACACAAACGTGACAATTCACCATAAAAAGTACCTCTCGTTGTTTATTTGACGGAGCTCTTAAGCAACTCGATGGTGTTGCGACACCATATCATGCGCACTGTAATACATATGGAGCGGGAAATACGTACGTTTCTTTGATAAGTGCTGGGTTAATTATACGGAATTCATTCTAATATCCTGAGCCAACTTGAACGATTAGTTCAAAACAAAGAAACGTTTATGCTACATCTTGTTAGTATAGCTTCAATGCGGCATATCTGGGTTCTAATCACCTTTACATCGGATAAAGAGCAAAACATTTTACGGATTCCATAAAAGAGAAATATAGCCCAGAACATTATGACTCATCATCTTTCGTACACAAACAAGCACACTTGCCCATAGGCTAAAGCGCACATCCAGTTACGCGTAGAAAGGTGATAAACCTAAGCCTCTAGGACAAAGAGGCTGTACACATAAATCAGCGTGCGTGTCCTCCTTATCTTCTTCCTTTAGGGTGGGATATACTGAAAATGCTACTAGCCGCATGTCCAGCAGAGTGACTAGGTGTTGAGGAGCTGTCAAATTCGTTGTCGGCTCACATCATATAGACACAGGCCAAACCTTTCATTAGAGGTACTGGTTCAGTGTCATTTATCACATGTCCGACAGTCGGTTGGAGTGCATCCGTGGGCGGTAACCCTAGTCCACTGAGGCCCTCGCGAACAGACTGAACAAAAAAGAACCTTTCATTCGGATTTTTGTCAAGCTTTGACATTGCCTGCACGGGATGCAGGTAGGATCTAAGTACCAGTGTGTAACAGCGTCCATCTAGTCCGTGGAACCTTAGGTTGTATCAAACAAGGTTTTCTAAAATATATTTATGGAAGTACAAAGAGAAACAATCAGCGTCGTCTGCTCAATCTCTTAGAGTGAATAATACTGCAGTTCAGGTATTAACGCACAATAACATAATTTCACTACCGAAAGCATTGCTCACGAAATTCGGTGTGTATGTGTAACCGGGTGCATCCTTGGAAAGTTTTCGCGGTTTATCAATGCGGAGTGATAATGATTTAACAGCACTAAAATTGGCTTCATTTATCTCTTAGATTCAAACGTTTCTATTTAACTGTGCAACATGATATGCCTATATAAATAGACACATGCGCGATTATTCCCAGTTTTTTATCTGTTGCACCGTAATTTCCTCAATATAAAACTGCCAGTAGCGCTATCCAAGCTTCTTGAGTACATACAGCATCTGCTGGGTTTGGAAGGCTGACACATTTCCGGAATACATTGTAACTGAGCCAAACTTCTACCGAGGCTGATGCGTTCTAACTTCTCTCTCCGCGGAATCTCGAACACAGCGAGATTGTCATCCTTTTGTCCACACTCGCAGAAACTTAGAAGGATCAAAGGTGATAAACAACACTTGCAAATTATCAACATGCCGATTCCTTGTTTTCAACACACGTCGTTGTTCAAAGACAAGCAACAATTTAAATGCAAACGCGTGACGGTTATCCGTAACCAGAAGCGTTCACGTTTATGTTCGGCACGTATAGTTGGTTGTAATAGGGCTAAACTGGAGCACACGTGGATACTACACGAACACAGTCCAAGTCAATTAGATCAACATTAGCTGTTTTTGCACGTACCCTATCCATCTCATCGTAGGGGCAATTGTGTAGTTTAAAAGGTTCGGGGATATACTGAATCCAAAAGCATTGATGCACCGAGAGGTGCAGATACCCTGCAGTAACCAAAATGTACATTGCATTTGCCTTGAATCCTATACATAGGTGATTACCGAGCACGCAATGCGATGGTAGAATCTTGCTGATCCACCCGGGTACAAGCTACTCCATTTCATTACCTTGCGTAGAATGCGGCAGCAGATGGCGATCTACGCTGTTAGAAGCTAGAAACCTCAAATTAGATAATAATAATAATAATAATAATAATAATAATAATAATAATAATAATAATAATAATTGTCCAGATAGGACGGGCCAAATTATGGAAACAGCATGTGAGAAAATCGAAGTTGTGATATCAGCACATGAGCAAAATAAGCCTATCACGTTCTAATGTTGCTTGCAGCTCATGTGAGTAGGAGGTAGTTGGTCGGCGTGCATGGCGCGATGTACTCACGAAGGCAGTTGTCGAGGAGAAAGAGAAAGCCCTCGTGCATTCAGAGAAGAAGCGGCAGTTGCGGAAGGGACAGTCGTCGATTAGCTGTACTCCAAGGACGTCGAGTACATGGTGCTCTAGTACATGCGTCTGCGATTGACTGAGTCAAGCCGGCCCAATGAACCACGAGCGATGCCACTCAGGACCAGCATCGAAACGACGTAGGCAGAACTGGCGCAGCGTTGATAGGTACGCTGCATTCGATGTAAAAACCGGGTGCTTGCATGCTGAGTCAGTTTGTTTCAGGTGCTCTCAGTATTAGTTCCTTACCTCACTTTAAGTACACATCAATAATTTATTAACTGGCATAACTAGATTAAATCAAAGGTGGTCAACTTCGCTTACATTTTCGTCCTTCTTACACGTGTGCCTTGATCAATTTTTATCATCCTGAATCTATTACGGCTACTTTGATTATCTCAAAAACTATACCCATGCAATTGGTGAAACACAAGGTAGGGAAGAGCACCGTTTTCGATAAATCTCATCAGGTGTTTACAGTTAGAAAATGGAAAGTTGAACCGGGATAGGCTGGTGAAGAGCGATAAAGATTAGCGAATCAGAGCAAGGCAGAAAGTGAGCTGTCCTAATCGATCAATTGGTCGATCCACTCAAGCAGCGGCTACCACAGTATACGTAGATCACAGATACACACACACGTATGCTCACGAGACATAGGACGTGCTTTTCAACGGATTGGGTGACGCACTCATCACCCGGTGTTTGTCAGCATGTGGAGTGGAAGCTGTTTGGAGGTGTGTTACCCCAGGGCAAAAGGAGCACTTGAATAAGCGCTCTCTGTCTTTGAGACGTTGGGCAACAAACGGCACAGTTTCAGCAATGATGTGTGGAAATGCAGCTGGAAACGTTCGAGCTACTCCAGCGGAAACTATTTGCACAGCAAATCGAAAGCAATATCACCTTTAAAGGGAAGTGTGAGAAACACATTTTCTTGGGGACAGTTGTAATTCATTCATGACGATCATGAATCACTGCGTGCTTTCGGATGAAGTGGGCTTCTCTCAACCTAATTGTGGACAAGTCCATCTAGAGACACAGTTTGAACATCTGATGAAACAAATGAGCGAGCTGACGCCTACTCCTTTGCTTGCAAAGGAAACATTCAGAACCACTCTGGTTCATCTTGGTTACATCTATCTCTGAACTTCACCAGTGAAATCGAGAACGTTAAAAATTGGCCTCCTTGGGCATTTTACTATGGAGAAAAGAAGACGGTTCACTAGAAAGAAGTGTGTTTCGGAAAACGACGTGGTTCGGTCAATATAGGCATTTTCGCAATTTTGCACCCTTGAAGTACAAACGGAACCTTGTTCGTTGTCTTTAGTTTTGCGCTGCCAAAATATGGAGCCCAGAGAACTTGAAGGCCGAAAATTAAACGGTTATCCAACCCACTTCATCGGAAAACACGCAGAGATTCATGATCGTCATAAACGGATTACAACTGTCCCCAAGAAAGATGTGTTTCTCTCACTTACCTTTAAGGGTGATATTGCTTTTGATTTGCTGAACAAAAGGGTTTCCGCAGCAATAGTTCGAAGCTTTCCAGCTGCATATCCATATATCATTGCTGAAACTGTGTCGTTTGTTGCTCAACGTCTCAAAGACAGACTCCCGGTCCAGTCCGAATCTTATATTCTATATCATTTTACTTGCCCCAATGGTGTGAAGTACCTCGGGCATACGATTAGTCGTCTGTCTAAACGGATATCGGAGCACTGTCCCACGGCATTGCAGAAAGGTACTGTCGGTTGCATAAAGAGTTCTATCCTATAATATCTGGTCTCAAGTGGACATCAATTCAAGGCTGTTGATACTTTCAAAGAGTTAAATGTTGTTCCACAACGCTACGCAAAGTGGCTTAGGAAACAAATGTTACGGACGGCCGAAGCCATTGCGACCAGGCTCACACAACCTGAACTAGGCAGAGAGCGTTTATTCAAGTGCTCCTTTTGCCCTGGGGGTAACACACTTCCAAACAGATTCCACTCCACATGCTGACACATGCGTCACCCAATCCGTTGAAAAGCACGTCCTATGTCGAGTGAGCATACGTGTGTGTGTGTGTATCTGTGATCTACGTATACTGTGGTAGCCGCTGCTTGAGTGGATCGACCAATTGATCGATTAGGACAGCTCACTTTCTGTCTTGCTCTGATTCTCTAATCTTTATCGCTCTTCACCAGCCTATCCCGGTTCAACTTTACATTTTCTCGTTGTAAACACCTGATGAGTTTTATCGAAAACGGTGTTCTTCGTTACCTTTTGTTTCATTTTGATTATGATTCTATTTCATATGCTATTATAGGGGCATATCTGTACAGTGTATTCGACCTTTTTACCCACATTTCTTTACATGTGGTTGGCTGTTGCTTTGTATCACCGGAGTGACTGCGCTTGGTGTGCATGTTTACAAGGTAACTGACTATTAGTCATTACCTCGTCTTTTCTGGCTCCAGGAGGCAGTTAGACATTGCTGGAATGGA